CTGTCTCTATACATATTCGAATCTATCTTCGTGAAAATTTCATACGTCGAGTTTTTCCAATTCTTTCTCAAAATTTCTCATTCTTCTAAAACTCGAAATAATAATATTAATCGATCATGCCGTACTTGATAATTTAGCGCCATTATTTTCTTTCGTATTTTAATTTTCATTTGAAAATTGTTAATTCAATTTTGTTAATTCTTTCTTTATTTTAGAAATTATCTAGATTCAATTTTATTTATCGTACGTTTTTACTTAGGATCCTCACACGGAAGAACAATAAAAATTGTGAGCAGGTAGAGAGAAAGTATTACGAGACGATTCGCCGTAAAAAATGCCTACTTTCTTATAATAATCACGCTAATAAAGATACATTCGATATGTACAATTTTATCGTTCGTCGAATTTTCCATTTATTTAAAAATTGGATATATAAAAATATTCTTTCGCGTAAGAAATTTTGTTTAGATATAAAAACTTGCATAAATTTTTCTCCTCGATCATTTTTTGATCGATAAATATTTTTTTTTTTCTTTTTTAACAGTTATTCTCAACAGTTTCTAGAAATCTCTAATTTCTGCTCGAGCTCGTTCACGTTTCCCTTTCGAGAAGTCCAGCCGTTTCTTAAGGGGTAGGAGGGGGAGGGGGGAGGCACCAAGGTGCGATCAATTGTGTCATATTTATCGCGAACGCAACGGGGCGTGTTCTTCCATTATTGTGAAATTAAGGATATTAATTAAAATCCTTCCGATATCGATGTAGAAAAGTAGAAAAGTTTTCCACGGACCTGGCCACCGCCGATTTCCCAACCAAAACAGAAAACTTTCCATTCCTCGTCATCGCCGTTGATCATCATCACGCAATTTAATTGTAAAGTCGATCGAAAGGCTATGAAGTTTCTCCGAACGGATGAAATCTTCTTTTGTTATTCAAGAAAGTTAATTAAAGAGGAATTACTTGATTATTTTTTTCCAATTTAAAGAAAAGAAAAATTAGAAGAAATCGAAATTAAAATTGGGGATCAGAGGTCAGAAATAAATGGATTTCGTCGTTTTAAATTTAGTGAAATAAGAAAATTGTTCGTTATTTAATTTTTTAGATAGATTTGGGTGGATGAAAAAAAAAAAAAAAAAAGACTCGTTTCTTTTATGCAATTTTATTCGATTTATTTTTTACGATATAAATTAAAATAGATCGAAATCTTAACACATCTTGGGAATTATTTATCCCCTTCTCTTTTTAATCGTATTCAATTGCTCGAATATAATATTTTTATCAATTATGAAAATTCATGGAAAATACTTTCGTGAACAGTGAATAGAATGCATATATCACTAATACATATAATATTAGTACAACTATCAAATTTATCCTATGCATTTTCCTTTTCTTCTTCTTCTTTTTCTTCTTCGATATTTTTCAACCTCTCATCGTTGAAATACTCACGAATAGAAGGTATTATTAACTTTGAATTCGTTTTCTTTCAAACTTGAACCGTTTCAGGGTGAGCGCCCATGCGTGCCACCACTCGAGTTCCTCGTTCTTCTCTCGTTGAGAGAGAGAGAGAAAAAATGTATAACTGTTTCTTTTTTTTTTTTAATCACGTTGATCGATATATTTCTTCTTTAATAACGTAATAAAATCAACGGAAATATGTTTTTCGAGGCGAGAAAATCGATCGAATGAAACTTTCTGAAACACTGTTTCTGATATCTGTGTGTATATGATTATAAAAAGGGCCATAAAATTGTATGACTATCTCCGATAAGATACCAATGTTTTTCAACTTGTCGATTAATCGAATGAGTAAGGAAGAAAAATAGGAAAATTTTGATCAGCCTATACTTTATTTATCTTGGAAAAAAATATTGGTGATTTGATTGTGATTCGTTCGTGATGGAAAAAAAATTTTTCTCCCTTGTAAGAAAAATTAATATTTCTTTTTTTTTTTTTTTTTTTTAT